GGGAGACCGGGAGACCCGGCAAACGTGCGGAAAATCAGGCCGAGGAACGGGGAGAGTTTGGGAAATTCCACCCCCCACCCCCCCTTCCCCGCGTCCACTCCCCGCCTAGTCCTTCCCGGCGAGTCCTGTTGTAGCGCTGAAGGTGGGGCTTAAATGTATTAATATTAAAAAAGCGCTGTTGACCTATATTTGGAGGAAACCCATTTCCAGTGTCTAGATTGCATGTAGTTTCAGAAACTCCGGGATTGGCAGAGCAATTGACTTCACCGAGCTCTCTGTTGAGCATGTATAATAATTATGAGGTGACTCTCGGAGAGGTTCTCTCTCTCTCTCTCTCTTTTTTGCATAAAATGGTTCCGCAATCTGATTCCACCCGAGATCCAATATTTACCCAGTTGTAAACCTTGTGCCATCAGATTTTTTAAAAGAGAAGGTGATGCAATGCCGATAAGTTGCAAGTCCCTCCCCTATGGAAGTACCAGAGCATTGGTGGCGAGCATCCTTAAAGAAATATCAATATATTTACGCTCTGATGGGCACAATTGCAAATGATGGTATTGCAATACGAGCTATATAATACGGAATCAGGAGAGGAATGGTCGATCCGGCTTCAGCTGCCTTTTGTGAGTGCACGACTGCATGCTTACTAAATTTAGACTATGCTCGCGAGGAAAAAAAAATAATAATGAAGGCTAAAATGAAATGAAGCAAAAAAAAAAAAAAAAAGAATGAAATAAAATATAGGAAAAAAATCAAGTCAGCAGGCGTAGCAACCGAGGACTGCGCTTGTAATAATGAGTGAGTGGCCTGGCGGTCACTATACACTTGGGGTCCTCTGAGCTGTATGCAATTCGTTTGATCAAAGTGCATCCTTGGGGACAAACGCAAACAGCAATCTCTAACCAAGTTACAGGGAACGCCATGGCACGGTAATGACTGTAAGTATCACACCGATTCCCCCACCAAATATCTAGATAGCTCCAGCTCCAGCCCCTGCTAACTTGTCTGGATAGATGGGATTTACATTCAATGGGGGAAACTAGCCGAGTTTGGAGGGGCGGGGGGAGGAGGGGGAGAGGGAAAGGGGGGGGCTTTCAAAAATACTAAGACAGATGCGTCCTTTAGGATTGCTCAGAGAGGTTAACAAACACAAATACAGGTATCTCTGTGGCTCTACCTGAGTCATCAGTCTGTCAGCTCCCGTGTTCTCTTCATCCTTAAAAATAATGTCAGGGTTGTAATTTGGGGTTAGTTCTTTAAATCTCTCGGAGTTTCTTGTGATCTTCCCTTCATATCTTCCACTGGCCCCTAGGGTCTTCTCTGCCACATTGGGAATAAACTGCTTATAGGCTAAAGGGGTCAGCTTTTTGGGGTGTCTCCTTTTTCCAATGCCCCTGCCTGGTCCACAAGTCAGCCCAGAGGAGACTAAAAGAGCGCAGATGAAGCCCACCAAGAGAATTCTTGTCAACAGCAGCATTTCGTCCATTGAATCCAATTACTTCAAAGCTCTCTGTGCCTATCCCTGGCTGTCTCTCTAGAGCTCTCTCTCCTCCTATGTCCTTGTCTGCTTTCTGAATCGTATACTATCCACCGATCCCTAGCAAGACAGGTGCTGGAATGGCAGGCTTTAGGTCGCTGATAACGGAACACATCGGAGTTTGGTCGGGAGACAGCAATCGAGAGACAAAAAAAGGGTCTGATTTTAATGGTAGCAAAGCAAGACGCTTGTGAGAGGAGTCTGCCTTTAGTTCTATATTATAGCTGCCAGGGCCGAGAGCTGATTGGCCAAGGCGAGACAAGCTTGTCTTCTGATGTTTTAACCCTCAAAAAGGCAACAAATTCTTGAAAGATTTTTTTTTTTTTCCTTTTACCTGAAGGGCTTGGAGCTGAGAGGGGTGGAGATCGCGCTTTCTTGGGATAACATCAATTACACGCTGGTTGGTGTTTTTTTTTTTTTTTTTTTTCAAAAACTTTCTTGGCAGAATGGTACATTTGTCAGCAAGAGGAACAGATGCCTCTGTGAAAGAGGGGAAAAAAAATAAATAAGATTAGCAGGCTGCCTCAGTGCAAGTCAAGTTTCTAAGGGCAGTTGCGGTTAAATAAAATGCCGAATTATCGGGGGGCCGTGCAAATAGAAACGTATTGGGGAAATCTGAACGCCCAGGGGGCAATAATGCCATTTAGGAGCGCACCCACCTCAGTGGCTTTGTAACAGGTTTCTTCCCCCTGAAAAAGGAGATTGCTCTCCCTCCTGAAGACATACATTTTTAAACACACTCGCCTTTTAGCTGATAAATGACTACTTTAAAGGCAGAAACAAGCCATGCTGATGCGAGGCGGCAGTTATATGAAGTTAGCGTGCCTGACTTGTGTATCACACAACTGCAGTGTGCAGAGATCTAAATGGCACCTTTTTTTTTTTTTTTTTTTTTTTAAATAAAACCAGGGCTATCACCCACTTTAAAATAATGTTGTATCTTCAGAAGTGCATGAAAAGTCAACTGATTAAAAATAGATGGTCTCCTGAGCACGCTGGGGCTGTATTCTTTGTTTCTTTGGTCGAAGTCGAAGAGGAGCGTTTTAGACTCTTACACCTCCTTGCGGGGTGTCATTAAGTTTTTAAGAAAAGCATAGTGTTGAAAACATCCGCAAACACAATTAACAGAGATCGATCCAAGCAAAGTGAATGGAAAGGGGATAAGTTTAATGTTAAATTAATTGTTATCTCATGCAGCGTGGCAAGTGATGTCTTTATCCCGATCTCCAAAAGCTACTAATCAGACAAAGGTGTTGAGAGACGAGCAAAATTGCAGAGATGGGGCTGATAGAGCAGGTTAGACAGAAAAGCAGAGTCCCATATGAACAAACACTTCTCTGCCTGTAAAGAGCTCATTTACTTTTGCTCCTAAAAAAATAAAATTTGTCCTAGGACCTAGAAAGTTTCAGGAGTTTTTTAGGAGTTCTTAAAAATGCCAGGACGACATGCTGAAGTAATTCAAAGTCCACTCTCTCAGGAAAAAAACCCAAAAAGAATCAACTTTATTTAAGTTTTTTTTTTTTCTCTTTAAAAAAAAGGTCTTTGGGGCGAGCAATTATATGGGAGTTTTCCGGTCTGTGACATCGAGCTGAGTCGTAATCAACTTAAACCATGTGAAAATGGCCTTTAAAATTGGTTTTTAAGTGGTAAAAAAGTTGCGTATCCGTAAACTGTAACAAGCAAGACAGCACGGACTTTTCAAGGGACAAAGTGGTCTTTTTATGTGAACTTTAGAAAAGAGCCGAAAGAAGTGATCCGAAGCTCTCACACCGACTCTAACTGGTGCTCTCCCCTCTTTTTTCGCCTATACTTTTCTTCTGTTATTTATGTTTCTTTGCAGAGTTTCAATGAATCATTGATTTCTCTTTCCGAGCTTTACATTTAGGAGTTTTGACTTGGGAATGGGTAAAAAGTTAGAAAGTCAGCAGCTTGGCTTCTAGGTTTTTATCAACCAACTTAGTTGCAGAAACAAGTTGTATAACAGCTAAATACCTGCTTCATGCTGTTAAAAAACAAACTTAAGTTTTATCTCCCCGTCTGCGTGCATGTGAGAAGACAGATACAAGGAATATATAATTTATACAAAAGGGGGTATGTTCTTTTGATGTGGTTGCTTAAACAGCGTGACTTGATATAACAGTTGATTAAACAGTGCCAAGGAATAAAAGCTATTCTTAATGGTGTGGGATACTGCAAATCTTTTATCACCCCTCTTACCTTGCCCCCCTCCCCAAGGAAAGATGATCGATATCCCAGGCACTAGGCGGGTGGACATCGCAATGAAGAAGTATAGAGAATAAGGATAAACTCCCTCATTATCAGATTGCCATATGTACAAAGCAGTCACCCAAAGATTAACAGGAAAGGAAACGCAAAGAAGGAATTAATTAAATGCGAGTAATAAATGTGCGGGGAGGGGGGGGCAAAGGGAGAAATCAAGAAAAGTTGTAACTGTGGGAAGCTTGAAATCACCCTCCTATCAAATTAGATGTGAAAGAAAGCAGAGCTGGGGGGTGCGGGGAGGGTCTGCTCATTAGGCTTTGCTTTTCTTTAAATGCCACAGCTTCTGGGGAAAAATAACCCCCGTGTCCCCCCCCAAGTCACGTCGTCGGGTAAAGGGACCGGAGGAGGTTTCCCTCCCAGGGGCGTCCTGCCCCGGGCCCCGCCAGCCGCAGGCACCCACCAGCCCGAGCCCTGTGCTGCTGAGGGCAGCATCAGTGCCCGACCTACACCCGTCCCTGCCCGCACTCGCGTTTTAACAACGACAACAGCAAAACCCCAAACCAAGCAACAACAACAGCCACCGGTCGGGCACTGATGCCTTCTTTAGACGGATTAATCCCTCGATTGTGGATTATAAAAATCAATGTTGTGTCCTATTGTCCCCCAAACCTGCAGGCCGCTCTTTTGCTCCCTGGGGAGGGAGGCTGGGGTTGTTCCAGTCTTCTGGGGGGGTGAGATGCTCTGCACCCCTCTCCCCATGCCACCAGAAACCAAAGCCACTGCTGTCCCCCACAGGGAGCGGCCCCCAGGGTCCCTTCAGGGCTGCCCAGGGTGAGGATACCGGGGAAGGCCCCTGGGTGCAGACTCACTTGCTCCACCACCCCTGCCCACACAGCCGGGTTCCTCATGGAGCTGCCACTGGGCTCCCTGTCAGGCCCCAAAGCCCTGGTGGGATGGGGGGGACCCCCCTGGCTCATCTGGAGCCCTGGTTCTCCTGGCTGCAGCAAGCACCACAGTCCCAGGAGCATCTACCACTGAGCCCACGGAGCCCTATTTTTCTTGCTCTTGTGCAAGCATCCACCACAGCCCCATGGCCCAGCTTTCCTCGCTGATGTACAGGCTCTTCCAGTGGCTCCGCCAAACCCCACGGCAGCTCCAAGGCTTCCCTCACCCTGCGGGGCCATGCGTGGGGCCACACTGGCCTGCGCCATCCCCACGGGGCCCGGCCTGAGGAGGGGCGGCAGTGGGTGCACCCAGGCCCAGGCCAAGCTAGCTGAGGATCTCAGTTATTATTTATCTTCTTTTTTTTTTTGAAATGTGGACGTGCTGCCTGCTGTTTGCTCTGCATAAAGCCAGGGAAGGGTTCAGACCACACAAGTGAGGTTGCTCATTGGCCATTTTAAGCTCCCTGAGTATTCTTGCGCCGTTATATTTTGGTTGATGAATCCCAAAATACAGGACGTTTCCCTCAGAAAACTGGAGAGGCAAATGTTTGTTAGCTTTTAACGTAATTACTTACCAACCTTAACAGCCACCATTTGTGGTCCCCCTCAGTATAAGGTTTTTTAATAAATTATCAATTTTTAGAGTGTTAAAGCTTCATTCTTGTAGCCTCTTTGCACCTGTGATGTTTCCCAGGAAATTTGGGACCCAAGCGATCATTGACAGAGAAGTAAATCATGACTAACTTCAGTGAAACCAGAGGGTATGCTAGAGTAAAACTGGTATAAATGGAAGGACACTCAGAGAGGCTTTTCATCTAAAGCTTTGTTTGTTTGTTTTATATACCCCACCTTCCTTCATGAAGATGCTAAACTATTTTATTTAAAGGAATTGTTACACATCCTTCATTGCCTATCCTGGTGGTATTGCGATATCTATCCTGAAAATCAACTTAGAAATTTCAGTTCAGAATTATAGGCAGGTTGGCAACTATACCTTTACAGTGACAAGAAGAATGGGTCTTATTCCTTGGAATTTCCTTCCAAAAAAACCAAACCCCTGGTGCCAACAAGAAAATGAAGCTCATAGTTTTCCATCCATTTGGGTTTGTCAGCAAAATTCAGGGAGTGATGTGGCTGAAGCCTGGTATCTGCTTCAATATGCCCTTAGTCTGGCAATGGTCTATAAGCATTTCTGCTACAGGAAAAAAATATTCTGGCATATGGAGAGGCAGAAAATGGTTACTTTCCAGAATAACTGTGTCTACGTGCATTGATTTTGCAGTTTTCATCTCTATCCGCTTGTGGATTAATGCTAATCACTGGCTTGAATATGGTCAATAAAGCCTTCCATCATACACACAAGAAATAATGCAGGCAGCATGATTCCTAAGACGTTGTTACCTACCTTTTGTGTGTACATTTGCTGTTAAACCAACTTTAAAGCAGAGTTTCCCGCAGGATTCCTTATATTCTCAGCAGGGCAGTACATAGTGTTGGATTTTATTGAGAAACCCTTAGATTCCTCTTTTCGGTCTTTTCGCTTCTCCTTGAATAACCCAACATTTTCCCATACCAAAAGCCCCAAGCAGGCATGATTATAACCTTTTTTTTTTTCCTTCCTGGTTTGTGATCTGCATCCCTGTTCAACCACTTCCCTCTGCACAGGAGTGGGGAAAATCCCAACCGAGGTGTTTCAGGGAAGGTGGGAGGGAAGCAGCCGCTAGGGGAGCTCGATGTTGGGAGTAACCTCCGAGCATCTTCCTCACAGCTTACATAGCTTTCTGCAGTCCCCAGGACTGGAAGTTTGAAAGCAGGTATTAAGTTTAAAAAAAAAAGGCAGCAACAAACCAAATGGACAAGTTTTGGAGCTTTATTTTTTTTATAGCAGGCAATTTTATAACCAAGTATTTGAAAGTTATTTTCTTGTCCATCTACACATTGAATTGTGATGTGTGCATATATGTGTGTGAGTGAGCACGGAGGCCAGAATTAAGCACGGCACATATTTCTTAAGTTTCTGATGACCCATAAAATTAAGGGATATTGAAATGTATCTGCTTAAGCACCAGCCATGAGTATGAGAATATCCAATGTTTAGTCCCGGTTGTAATGTTGACTTGCTTTACTGGTCGTTGGCAGGTGACTTAGATCCAATGTTTGCATCATATAAACACTGTTAAGATAAACCTTCAAAAGAAATCATATCTTTTTCTTCTTGTTGTTGTTATAAAAATTG